ACACACACACACACACACACACACACACACACACACACACACACACACACACACACACACAAACACAAAGCACAGACAAGCGGTATAAGAGAAGATGTTTGCACTCAGGGAAATGTCAGATCAAGCTGCAGAGACAAAATAAAATCTGGTGACGTCTCTTCACTGTGTGCTGCAGAACTGTCATGAAGAATAACGTGTATGATCACGTTCTGAGGTTTGAGCCACCCTCCTTGAGCACAGTCTGGATGGTCAGATCAGATGAAGATAATAAAAAGAGGGGGTTCATGGGAATAAAAAATGAGGTCTTTTGGTATAAGGAAATGTCCAAACCATTGTTTATTTAGGCTTTTAAACGGAATATTAACACAATGTGACACTATGTCAATTCCTCTAACGTTAGTATGGAATCATGATGTGTTTCCCGTCTGTATCAACAGGAACTTTTTTATGAAACCTTCTTTCTAAACCTTTTTGTGCTTTAGTGCAACTGATTCCTGTTTGAGACAGATCTGTACTTAGTTCTATCAGACTCTTCTGCAGGCTGTGCCCTCTTCAGGATTCACCACAGAGTTATCTTCCRTCTCACTCTGTCCTCAATCCACCTACCTCCATGTCAATTAACTGCAGCCATATGTCTCCCCTTTGGTCTTCTTTTTTGTCCTTTTCCTGGCTGCTGCATTTCTAACATCCTTCTAAAAATATACCCACTCTCCCTCCTCTGGACATGACCAAACCATCTCAGTCTGAACATGATCCTGCAGTCGTTCAACCTGTGCTGTAGCTCTGATTATCTTGCACCGATGCGCAAACTTGTGCTTCCCAGTGGCTGTTTTTTTTTTTCTTCTCCTAGTCCAACGTAGTTTGTGATTGAGCATGGAGGAATTTCAACCAAATCTACTAAAAACYATCCTGGGTGGGGAAAACTGAGAAAAGAGAAAACATGTCTGTTATTTTTGTAGCTTTCCTGCAGCTTTTGTTCTTCTGCAAATCTACCCTCCACTCAGACATGTGCAAACTTGATCATCTTTAAATCTTAACTGTTATGTGAAACARCAGCACCACCTAGTGGTGATATGCAGTAAAGTCAAACTCCTTTGACAAATTTCACATTTTCTACTCATCAGCTGACTTCACCCTTTGAAACAGAGCTTGGAAATATAAAATTTAGGCTTTTTAGGATGYTTTTCGTAGCCTTCTGCTGGTGGTTGGAACAAGACAACAGGACTCTGAACATGCAGCTTGTCTTGATGGATAAGGGACGCTTTGTTTCTGTCATCTCAACACTCACGTGTTCTGTTTTTAAAACTAAAGCGTAAGGCATGGTGATGATCACATTACAGTAACTTTTTTGTTTGTTTTTGTTCTTAAATCTCTTCCTGCAGGCCCAGAAAAATGAGAGGGAGTCTATCAGGCAGAAGCTGGCCCTGGGCAGTTTCTTCGACGATGGACCCGGCATCTATACAAGCTGCAGCAAAAGCGGCAAACCCAGCCTGTCCTCACGGTGAGAGTTTTGACTTTCCTGAAACACTGGCCTCTACAGGAGCCATGTGAGCTGTACTTGGAAAGCACTAGGTTTTGTTTTTGTTTTCAAGCATTTCTTTCTTTAACGCTGACGATCGTGTGAAAAAGACTGATGTAACCACCCCTTGTGGTTCTCACTTCCTATAAGATGCCTAACGTGTGGACACACACAAACAGATAGACATGCTGCTGTGATCKCTGACACTCAATTTTACTGGAATTGAATGTTCCGTCAGCGCTCCGGTGCACATTCTACTCTTGTTTTTTTGAATCACATGGATTTCTCGGTACTGCTGATGAGTTCTGAAAAATACCGGGAAACGTTTCCCCCTCAAAACATGACACATTTGTCTGCCGCGCGGGGAGTTACCTGATATATTTGAGCCAGGGAACGCCAAGTTATTGAAATAATCCTCAGAAATAACAAGTGACCACTCAGGTGCTACTTTAAGTGGGCCTGAATGGATCTTGGCCGTGTAATCAATCAGCACTGTTTGTAATTACTGAACTGAATAAGCAGATTATTGATCGACAGTGGGATGGATCCACACCCTACTGATTTTCTGCTCTTCCACGGCACAAACACCCCCCGCAACCCCCACCACTCCCCAGGCGGATTGTATTAGACCGAGCAGAGGCCTTCTGGATCGATCCACGTTGAAGACAACAGGAGAGTTGATTAAAAACACAAGTGCTCTTTAAATTTTATCTCCGACCAGCACTTTGCCCCRGCACCGAAGCAGCTTCTGTTTTCTTTCCTTTTCTGCTGGATTCAAATCCACATTGWGGAGACATTAACAACACTGATTATTTAAGGACAAAGAGCTGCACTGAACTTAAGTGTCATTTCTTCTGTTTGCCTTGTTGTCCATTTAATCAGCGCTGAACCGTTTTTCTCCCTTTCGTCGYGTCCCTGCAGGCTGCAGAGTGGCATGAACCTGCAGATCTGTTTCGTCAACGACAGCGGCAGCGACAAGGACAGCGATGCCGACGACAGCAAGACAGAGACCAGCCTGGACACGCCTCTGTCCCCGATGGTACGCACGGTTTACCCAGAAARCTCGGACTTATTCTCCAGAGTTTAAGAAAAAACATACTGAGGTCCTAAAATTGCAACCAAATGTGTGAAACTGACTGCAGCAGACTTAAGATCTGCTGGAGTGAAAGCAGTGCTGACAGGGAACAAGACTGAAAACAGTGAAATAGACGAGGAGATATAACCAGCACTTTAGTTGCTGTATGATTGGGTTTGCTCACATTTTCTGGTCTGTTAATCAAATTAAACAAAACCTACCTGTCTGAGTCAGATGTGACAGAGAAAAAAACTGATCTTTAGTCTGCATTTTCACAGAAGTCTAAAATGTCAATAATTATTTAAAAATGCACAAAAAATATTCTCTTGTAACCATAATTAACAAGAACAAAGACTATCTTACCTGTTGTGGATAGCTGGTTGACTTCAGTTTGGATTAATACTTAACTTCTGACCGTATGGATGAGTTCRCAGTTACTTTCTGTGAAGCCAAAACTAAAATGGATTATCATCTCAAACAGAAGCAGCAGCAGCTAGCTGTAGCTCTTCCTGTTCAGCCTGGAGTATTTCTTGGAGAAACATCACAATATATCTAATAGAAAACTTGTCTCCATCTTCTGCCGCTTATCCAAATGTTGTTTTAAAAATCCTTAGGTTCAYAAAACAATATTTGCTTAAACAGTTGTTACATTTTCAGACAAGTTGTTTTAAGATGGCAACAATTTATTTTGATTATTTGGTCAGAAAAGCCCTGACCTCATCTGTCCAGTCAGAAGTTTAATTTCAATTCTCTAAACTTAAAGTGCAATTTTTCCACATAACTCCACTTCAAAAAATCTGGACTATCCCTTTTACCTTTTGTATTTACTCATTATTCTCTTCTTTTCCTTTAATTCCCTTTTTTAATCATCGTCTCTTTCATTTTCTCTCTCTCTCTCTCTCTCGTTTCACGTTCGGCCCGTCCTGCAGTCCAAGCAGAGCTCCTCCTACTCGGACAGGGACACCACAGAGGACGACTCGGAGTCTCTGGAGGACATGGACTTCTTGAGTCGACAGAAGAAGCTGCAGGCAGAGGCCAAGCTGGCGCTGGCGATGGCCAAGCCCATGGCCAAGATGCAGGTGGAGGTGGAGAAACAGAATCGCAAAAAGTCACCGGTGGCTGACCTGGTCAGTAACAGAAATAGGAGACAGAATCGATCATTTTGTCTTTGGCGTAACRTTGTGTCATACATTTAAAAACTGAAATAAAAGGTTTAAACAGTAAGAAAACAAAACTTCTTAGTTTAATGTAGCACTTAGTCCCCAGAATCTGTTATTTTAGATTTWAAAAAAAAAGAACAAACACACCTTGATCAGTTTTGAGGAGTGATATCCAAAATTGGGGGTTAGGACCCTTGTTGTGGTCCTGAAACTTCAAGGTGGGGTCCTGAAAAGATTTTCTGAATTAATTACATTTAAAAATAGCTACTAATGTTAGTGTACTTAAAATGGATAAAAGTAGCTTAATGTATATTGTTACCATAGCC